TGTCGAAAAGAATGCATGACGTCCGATGACGTCACGCAGCAGCGCTTCAGTGCCGCAGAATAGGATTAATGTTTTGAATTTAACATTTTGAATGACCTGTGCTGTGTTTATATGGTTTACACAAGACGTCCATGAGAGGAATGTAGATTAGATTAGGCCTATAGGCCTACTTGTTGTAATAATGCCTATTAATATCTTGTGTCTACAAAAAAATACAATACACAGGGTTCTTAATTTATTTTTAAATAAATAATTGCCGGATCATAAACGGCAATCTAAAGGCGCGTGACCGACAATGACCAATTTTTCCCACAACTTTTTTTGAGCTGTGTAATCCTTATGAACGTAAGACCTTTAATGAAATAAGCTTCACAGTTCTGCCTTTATAGCTTTTATCCAAAAAGCAACCTCGATTTGTGCTCCCTTTTTTCTCAAAAAAGAGGTAAGCAACAGTATCCCAAATGCTGCAATTTAACTGAGTTTAACTGAACACTGAATATTCAACGCAATCTCACAGCAATTAGTAAGTATTTTATAAGGTAGCTATTAGCTGAACCATAGTTTCTTCTTTAGCTGACACTATTTCAGGTTTGGAGTCTTTATGAGCTGATACATTTATTAGGGATTATTAGAGATAGGCAACAGGACCAGGGTTGGAAACAATTGTGTAAAGTATAGACAATTCTCCCAATGCTAGTAAGTTGTAGTCACTGAGTGTGCAATCGCGTGCAATGATTTTAAATCTATTTTTTTAAATGTCAATATAAATTAATTTGTATAAATTAAAGAAAACAATCTGAAGACTACAGTATGAGATTTTAATTGCATTCATATACTAAGACTGAGACCCTCAAGAAAAGTGCTCGTCCAGGATAGAAAGAAGGCTGTTCTTGGCTGTTTGGTGACAAATTTACTGCTATGTAATAAAAGTTTACGACTTAGCCAAGAAATGGATTGGCTGTGCTAAGTCACATGGTGTCCTCTCCACTATAATGAACTTTATAATGTTGTCTCTGCCCCGATCATTCGTTCCCCATCAGGATGAACAACACGGAACATTAGTTTTTTAGTCTTACAACTGCAACAACAGGCCTAATCATTTAGTTGACAGTCGTTTCTACCTCCTCTCCCTCCATCTGCTCTTCAAAGGTAAATAGTTTTAGTTTTGAAAGAAGTCGAGAGCGTTGTCTTTGCACTACAGGAAACAGGAATGGATTTTCTCCAGATGTGGATTAACGTTACCTCATTATTTGAGAAGATGCTTGTTAATAAGCGCTCTCTCTCTCTCTCCTCGCGAGCTTTTCAGCGGATCCGTCACGAGCGTCGCGAGAAACGCGTTGAGCGTCGGTGAGTTTGTGCTTCTGCGCTTTAACTAATTTAACTTAGAAAAGTTTTACATTATTAGCCTGCACTTGCAAACACACTCGTAAGAGGAGTAAACACGGCAGGCCTGACTGAGTCTTTTCGACATTTCAATAAACAAAGAATAAATTTGAATATTTTATAGAATAAATTCTATTTGAAATATATTTTAATTTTAGAACACTAAAAGCACTGCCATTATCATTCATCATCAGCGTTTCTCTCCATTAATTTACGATACAATGTGAGAGAAAAAAACGTGCGGGAAAAAAAATCAATTGGGTCCAGCGCCAAAGGAAGAGAGCGAAGGGGCGTCGTCCATCTTTTTTACAGTCTATGATTGGGTCATTCAATAAGCCTGAAATTGTCATAACCTGCCAACAAAATTGGATAAGACCAACGACATAATATGGACAAAATATTAGGCCTGCCTACATAGGCTACTTCTTTAAAAAAAACTCCCATTGATTCAAAATTGAGATAGGCTTCAAATACTGTTTGAATATAGCCAAGAAAAAATAATATATATATAAAAAAAACTAAAAACTAAAGGGACTCATTGCACTATCAACCACTTGTAACTCTTCGAAATAAATAAATGAATAAATAGGCATAAATAAATAAATGCATCAATAAAAAATTCCAACCAATAGCAATAGAAGGATGTCCACAGACACAATATAAATGTAAGTGCATGAAATTATACATTTTAAATATATAACTTTTAAATCTGCAATATATTAATAGCAGTTATCTGTAGTAGCAACATCTGTGAATGAAGACACATGTACAAATCTTGAAGAAAAACAGCATTATTTGCAGGCGTCCAGGCATTCATTTCAAAAGGTGGAAAGGTAATCTGAAGGAGGCAGAATGATAGATTCACTATTTGCTATGTCATGGTGCCTCCAAAATATTTAGGTGTTTTGGATAAAATAAAAATAGTTTGAAGTTCTATATTAACTAATAATTAGTATAAACTAAAACTTGTATTATATTAAAATAAAATAAAAAGCATTTTATTAATTTTATCATTTTAAGTAGGCCTATATTATCTAACACATTTATTTTCCTGTTGTTTTAAAAATGTTTAACGTTTAAGATAGCATTAGCCTATGTCGTTTTTTCAAACCAATTTAACTTGTGCTAAATGCCAGGAAACAGAAGCTTAACTGAAGTTAGGGCCTAGACTTCATTTCACAATCAATGATCGCAAACACATTCAGTTCTACAACTTATAGCACTGGGAGAATTGTGCATCTTTACACAATTGTTTCCAACCCTGGTCCTGGTGTAGCCCTATATGCCTCTAATAATGCAGATTTTATGTCTCCTTAATAAACTTATCAGCTCCTTAGAGACTCCAAAACCTGAAATAGTGTCAGATAAAGAAGAAACTATAATAAAATAGCCTCGTAAAATAACCTACTTCCGAATTGATGTGAGATTGCGTTGAATATTCAGTGTTTACTACAAAAGATGTAAATCTACTTTACACTTTTCTTTTCCTTTTCCTTTTTTTTAAACAAGATTTACGGAATTAATGTTGTTTATCATTTTGAAGCATACGTGTTAACAACGACAGCATTTGGACCGTTGTAAAGGCCAGCCAAGCCTATAAAAGAACTGAAATAAAGCACTTACTTGCACAAATCCACTCCACCGATCAACATGTCTTTCTCTTTAATTCCAATTTACTTTGCACATTGAGAGCCAGTGAGAAATGTTGTGAAATATTGCTGTTTTGAGTTGGGCCTATACCTGTTACCATGATTTCGATTTTAATCATTATAAGCAACATAAATAAAAATGAATGTACTTATTTTGCAAACACAAACTGTCACTCGAAATCATTATGAAAACGGCTGATTATTGCCAACATTAGCGAAAAACATTCTGGAAAAACAAAAGGCCGTTTCTCCATGTCCGATAACTGCGTTTAAAATGCTATATCTTACCAGGTATAATGCTCCTGTCAGTCAGCACCTATTTAGCCTGTATTTTTTGTATTAATATTTCTGTATTAAATATGTTTGTTTAAGATTCCATCCCTGAAGGCTATTTCTTAAATATTACAGAAAATATCAATAATTAGTATTTCTGCTTCTTCCCTATTCATTTGTTTAACATAACGTAATTTAAAAGGATGTAAATTTGCTCTTGCTACGCTTTGAGAATATCACTGTAATAACAACCACAGTAAAAAGTAGTTACAGTTGTCAATTTAAAATATGTAAAATCTGATTTTTTCCTTAAACTACCGGACATGATCTTATTCAAGACTAATTTGCACTGTGCAAGTAAAATTTACAATTTTGTGTCATTTCCGTGTACAGCATATGCATAGCTAAAGCCAGTAAACCATGTCATTTGTCTGCTTTTACGCCTTTCATTGTAACAGGCGTTAAGGAATTCTGCAGTAAAACCATAAAACCCCCTCTTTTAAACAACGGGTAAAACGAGCGAAAGTGTTGGCCTAATGTACATCTTCACCTGATAGTGGATTCAGTTACTCTTTTATATGGGAAATTTTGGTTTAGGCCTAAAATGGTCAGAGATGCATGGGTAACAAAAAAACCGTTTATTATTAATTTTCCATGTAAATAGCATATCCAGAGGAATGTAATACGCACGCACCCCCCTCCCCCTCCCAAGGGGTTTTCTAGCATATGCAGGCAAAAACCATTTTTGGCGTATAAATGGCACGAGAAATAACATTCGTGGTATAGATACGCACTTTCATGAGACTGTGTTGGAATAAAATGCCGACTTTAAACGACTTAATGTTTAATGAGCATCTAATAGGCTAATCCATTTACTATTACATTTGACATGGTTTCGAAAGTAACTGAAATAGTTGTAAATTTTCCTAACGCATCACACAAGAAAAACAGTTTAGCCTATAGGCTAAATCGACACTATGGTTCAAAGCGAATAAATGTCAGTATGTAGCCTATGTGAAAATACTTTCAGTAAATTCTTTCTGTTCCATAACTATTTCAAATGTTATAGCCTACTTTATCATTTGAGTAATTTAAAAAAAAACATAGAAACACAATAAAATGAACAACAATCACAGCTTGCACTCCTTACCTCGTTAAGCTTCTGGGGGAAATAATCGATTTTTTTTTCAACCAAACCAGTGAAGCGAGGGCTATTCACTAATTACGTAATTTTATTACTTAACCTTAATCTCATTTATCCTATAGGGGCTGAGGCTTGTGGACATAATTCTGTATTACAGGACATTACTTTGACGAGCCAGAAAAAAAAGATATATAGGCCTACCAATGATTTATACAGCGTAGCCACCCTCAAATTACTTAAGAAATGTTTGGAGTGTGTGTGTGTGTTTGAGAGAGAGAGAGAGAGAGAGAGAGAGAGAGAGAGAGAGAGAGAGAGAGAGAGAGAGAGAGAGAGAGAGAGAGAGAGAGAGAGAGAGAGAGAGAGAGAGAGAGAGAGAGAGAGAGAGAGAGAGAGAGAGAGAGAGAGAGAGATTGGAAGGGAGAGAGAGAGAGAGATTGGAAGGGAGGGAGAGAGAGAAAGCTAGAGAGGAAAGAGAGAATCAATAATGAAATATCTCAATAAAAGGGGTGTGCGTGCGTTATGTTCCCTTCTATTTTAACAGGGCAAAGAAAAGATATTCGTACTTTTATTGTTGCTTCCTGTTTTTATTTATTTATTATTTGAGTGGTCAGCTGATATTGTCATCTTGTCAATCTTATAGCGACGATTGTGGATGAGTGCACATTCTCTGCTGGGGTTCTGAAATAAATTATAAAGTAGGTTATTTATAAAAGACTTGAAATAAGATATAGGTTGATAAGGATAAAAAGTGCGTGAGAGAAAAAGAGAAGGGGGTGAGAGAAAAAGTGGCGTTTAAAGGAAAGAAGGTATGAATTCCTATTTTACGAACCCGCCGCTTTCGTGCCATTTAAACGGTGGTCAAGAAGTTCTGTCCAATGTGACCCTGAGCTCGACAAACTATGACCCGGTCCGACACTTCTCTCCATATGGCGCGGCCGTGGCCCAAAACCGGATATACGCAAATCCGTTCTATTCGCCTCAAGAAAACGTGATGTTCGGGCCAGGCCGAGGACCGTACGAGTACGGGTCAAATGTGTTCTACCAGGACAAGGATGTGCTTCCTAGTTGCAGGCAAAGCCTCGGGCAAACACCGGGTTCATTGACCCAGGATTACGCTTCAGACCCAGGCAAGACTGCGTCTCAGGAACCGAAAGGAAATATTCAAATATATCCGTGGATGCAGCGGATGAACTCGCACAGTGGTGAGTGTGGACACAAAAGAGATATATTTAGTACAGGACGGACCTGTTCGTTTTTACGACTGGGAAACCCACGTTTTATGACACCATAAAGCACTGACGAATTCTATTTGTTGCCCTGCGATAAACGCGTTTGGTCGTCAGAGAAAATCCAACACGCTTTACCACTAACCAGATCTATTCTGTAGCCTACAAAGAGAATGTTAACATATCGAATTAGTAGAACAGGGACAGTGAACTTATTTAGCTTGATGCATCGCCTATAATGCTCTTTAAATCTATTAGCCAGCCTATTTTAGTTGTACAATATTGGGAGTCTTTTCTTCTGACTTTAACCAAATAATCTCTTTCCTAACAGGAGTTGGCTATGGGTCCGACAGACGGCGAGGTCGCCAAATCTATTCGCGATACCAAACTTTAGAACTAGAGAAGGAATTCCATTACAATCGTTATTTGACGAGACGCAGAAGAATCGAAATTGCCAATGCGTTGTGCCTGTCGGAACGCCAGATTAAGATTTGGTTTCAGAACCGCCGGATGAAGTGGAAGAAGGAGAGCAATAATCTCACACCCGTCCTCAGTGACAGTGGCTCGGCAGGAGCTGGCCAGGACACGGACAAAGAAGCAGCAGGGGAAACATCCGAGAAAACCGAGCAAAACTGACGGCCTACCGGTCTACAACATTCAAAATGTGAAATAATGATATAGGCTACCTGTCGAACTTTCATAATTTGCACAATTTATTAACACCAAAAACATTTCAATTAGTCGTGAAACGTGTTTTTCCTCTCCATTTATTCTTTCCCCCAAATTGTGGAAACCTGTTTAATTCCAGAAATACACAATGGATGGCTATTATGAATCAAAGAAAGCTACCACTGGACAGAAAGCTGCAAACGTTTTTATCTTCTGTGTATATTAATTTGCTCTTGTTGGGATTTTTATTTTTATAAATCATCTTTTTTATTTTGATATCTTGGGTGATGGAAAGTGCATAAGGGACTGTGGATGCTGAGTTTGCTCAAACACATTACGTAAATTCCAAATATTAGGCTACAATCATTTTTTAATCATCATTATCGTGTATTACAAAATCGCTAATGGCAAGTAGGCCTACATTGTAAATGTTTGTAAATATATGAGATTCGGACTTGTGTAGCTTTCCTTACAATGTTCTGTTTTGTGCTTTTCTTTACTTTGTGATACGTTCTGTAAGAACCAGACGATGTAAAAAGTATTCTCAGATAATTTTTAAAAATTTGGAATATTAGCTAACAAGCGATATGAATTCAATGTTTAAAAATTACACAAAATAGTCAATAAAGTTGTAATGAATGTAAAGATACCTGATTTCCTGTTAATATATCAAGTCTTGTGCGCAACTTTGAAACATTAAAATGACAACAGAAACCAACCCTTAAATAACATTGGCATCGAGATGTATACTGCCTTCCTCCTATCTGAGATGATGTTAAAAACCATTTCTCCAAATTATCTTACAAAATAAAACTTTTAATGATGTAACACATGGGCCAACACGATCATGTCTACTCATGACTACGCTTTAAAAAAAATTGATGGTTAATTTTGAAGGTTAAATCTGCCAAACCGAGAGATCTTCATGCTGTGGTGTAAATTCAAGAAAACAGATGCACACATGAATAGTCTAAAGTTTAGTTTACAACATGCAGAATGATTGAAGGCAATGAAATAATCACAAAACAGGACGAATATGTAATATTATAACGTTAGTTTAACTTAAGCCTATATACTTTTATCTTACACAATCCCATTGAAACACGATACAACATCGTCCCGTTATATATAGGGACTATCTGTTTTTGCTGTGGCTTTTGTAAAGTATTTCACTCACTGCAATGTATTACTCGAACTCGTACTGAAGTAAGCTACTTAAACAATTAAAAACTGAACAAATTATTTTTTATACGTTTGTCATCATCTCTTTATTCAACGAAATAGACTCATGTTGAAAAAACCACGAAATAATTGTGAAATAACAGTAAGAAGATGCAGTAGGATATTTCTTATATTGTCGTTGTGTGCTTCTGGTCTGGCAGTTGCGTTTAAATAACTTCAATGCTTAAGAGTCTGTTTTTGAAGTTATAAAGTGAGGGTTCTGTTAACTACAGCTGAACTGTTACATGTTCTCAATAGAGTAGCCTACGTGTGTCTTTTCCATTTCCCCTCATAATATTTCTGAAGGTGAAGGAAAAAATAATTAGTGTAAAGTAATTGTAATTTCTAATTGCGATGCCGAAAAATGGCTTGCCAATGCACTTAACACCAGATGACGCTGTTGGCCTTCAGGCCCGCTTTTTCTTAAGATCCTGATTCAACCTACTTTATGACTGGATCAAGATTGAAAACCTCAAAGCAAAACAAAGAAACCAAATCAAATAGCCTAGGCTAAATAATGATAGGCTACTCATTCTTATACGGTTTATGAGAAACTTTTCAATTTAGCATGTGTCCCATATAGCCCATTCGTTGTTCAGGTAATCTCATACTTTCGGCGCCTGATTTCGGTTCACAACAATGGCTCAGATTACTGCCTCAGTTTGCAGTTATATCAGCACAGGTCTTCTGAACCCATCATCATCGACAGGTCAGGTGTTGGGTAGTCAGCATTATTCTTCAATAGCAAGTGAAATCTTCAGTTGATAATTCCCCATGACCATCTAATTCCATCTAATTTTATCATCCTCAAGCACGGGGAAAAAATAAGTAGCCTATGTAAGAGAACGGACAACATCTGATGATTCGTGGGAGATAGAAGAAATCTCCGCCGAGAACAACCCTGTCCAGCCTGTGGGACTAAACGAGCCTTGGATGAGTAAACTTTACTTGAGACACGGTAAGGTTGCCACTGTTGCTTTTTCACTTTCTCTGCTACATGTGTTCGTGGTCGTTTTGTCTTTCCGGTCTCTTTTCACTCTTTGTTTTCTTAAGTTTTATAGACCTTATTCGGACATAGTAAAACTAGCGGTAGTAAATTTTATAACAGTCATCAGTTGCTCGTAAAACTGTCCGCTACCGCTAAATTTATGATGGTAGGATGGTAGGCTATAATTAAATATTTAAACTTTTCAAAACACGGATATGCAGCGATACATGTTTTAACGTCGTTATTTTATAGCCTAAATATGCCAACATTAATATTTTATATTATAGTGATAATAGCTACATAGGCCAGCCTATCTTTGTAGACTTGCTATTTAGTGTTTTTAAAGCACCTTCTACAACCTTAGCCAAAGGGATTTGATTTGACAAATGATTTATTACAACCATAAGCTAGGCTACATGATAGGCTAATAAGCTAAGGCTAAATATTTTATTCACCGGAATAGCACTCAGTTTAAAAAAAATAATAAGATAGCCTGCTGCATGTGTTCTCATATGATCTTAAAGAACCGAAGATATCAGCGCCTTATATTCTGTGACTTTATAGGCTATCAGGCCTCTTGTATGTGAAGTTTAATACCACCATTCCAAACTATTTTTACTTACTGTGATTTCAAACCAGATTCTGATGGAAAATTATTGAGATCGACGATAGGCTACTAGCTAAGGAACTGGAGCAAGAATTTCATTTCAACCGATTCCTCACGCGTCGAGGACATCGTCCATGGCCAGTGTCTACAGATCAAAATCTTGTTTCAGAATAGAAGGATATATTTCAAGTTAGAAGTTATGGAGCAAAATAAGTTATGGAGCAAAAATTACGACGATATAAATCAACAGCTGGAAACAGATTTTCTCTTGTTCTTCATATTAATGCGACGTTGTTATGTGGTGTAGCTGTAGCCTAATGTACCGCGCTGCCTTTAGCAAGGATTTCCAAATATTTTTCCTAATAACTTTGCTTTCTCCCTCGCTTATTAGAAATAAAAAATATTATAATATTTGCATAACATATTTTAGGCTTATGTAGTTTGTTCGTTATAGTGGAATGAGTAAGACCAGTTACGATGCGTATCGCACATTAGCTGTCATTTGAGATGGCGTTGAAATAGCCAGCAGTCTGTGCAAAGTTATGCGTTTGCATTTTCTCTCAGGAAATCCCCAAGGATGATCCCCAGTACAATAGGCTATCCGTTATTTAAAAATATGTTGTTTTAAGTATGTTTTCTGTTATTTAATCACAATTTGAATATTTGGATGTTTTTTCATGCTATAATAGAATCAATGTTAAGTTGGTCGATCACAGTTCACAGCATGTTTGGGCTGTAGATAGGCCTATAGGGTTAGGCTAAAGCATACAATTAATTTATATCAAACGATCTAATTCATAGCGATTAAAACACCGGAAAATAACCTTCAATTGATTTGATTTAAGAACAGCCATATTCCCGCCAACAAACTACAACTGTTGTGAAGTAGCCTATGTGGCCACTGCATGAAAGTTATAACAATTCACGGATGCTTTATGTCAGACCTATAGCTTTAGCACTGTTGTAGCCTACATTAACGTGAGCGAGATAGATCAATGTGTGTTCCACTTTCAACTTCATGGCTTCTTTAACTTTTTTATTAAACAAACATTTGTTGGGCATTGGCCATACCCTCTGAAAAATAATCAAAATTGATTGCATAGCCTATCTCGCCGATTAGGAGAGGCACAGTCCAAGTCGAACACCTTTTGACTTTACTGATGACGTTGCATTAAATAAATTAAATAATAGATTAAAATAAATAAATAAAATATAAAATAATGCTGCGATGGACTGGCCATCCGTCCAGGCCTACATAACGCCCGTTTCAAGACAAATGGTTTGGGGAATAAATTGAGGATGGGTGGGCGGGTGTATTTTTGTACATTTCTTTGAAAACGCACATAAAACGTAATCTAACCTCATTTAGCAAATTAGCAATGATAAATAAAAATGCTGAAACTGTGGGGGAAAAAATAAGACGTCCTCGTAAATGCACCCTTATGTTACTTTTTGGGCGTAGGGTGATTTTGTGATATCGCTTGTCTGGGGTGTTTTCAAGAGGAGCATCTGCTGGAATCGGGATCATTGTCGGGCTCCACTTTTGTTTCAATCATTTACAGTACAGACTTGTAAAACTTTATTGCTTTAACAAGTCATAAAACTTTATGGCTTTCTTCCTCACATCTAAAATTACGACAGTTGTTTCCTGTTTAGCTAAACAGATTCAGGCAGGGACCTTTATTGAACAAACACAACTAAAAAACCCCGCTGCAAAAGCTTCCGGTTCGTTCGCAAACAGGACTTTGACTATAAACCTATTTTTTATGGATGGCATGTCACGCAATTAACATAAGTTGTATATTAGTACAAAACTCAAGTAACCCTCATTGCAGCACACACAATGTGAGTTTAAGTTCCTTTTCAAAATGAACAGATATCAAACTTCTAGCAGTCATTGTGTGGCTCCAAATGCTGAGCTGATTGATTGGCTTTGGCAAATGGCTCCCTCACTGTGCTGTAAGTTAATAATCATGATTCCTAAACTTGTAGGCCAAATGAAATATATATCTGTCCCTTTACAGCCAATGACCCTAATTAATATGGTAATTAAATTATTGCTTGAGAAAGCTTTCTCAAAACATAGATTTCAATCCCATGTATGAGTAACAGCTTCACATCTGTTTCAGTTTGTTTGAATGACGGGAAGCATGTGGTTCTACTCCGTGT